ATGTTGCTTAATTCACTATAAAACAATATGTAGATTTTTATCAATTTTTTTTTTTTTTTTTAATTTTTCAAACTCAGGTCTTTTACAAAAGCTAATCTCTCTCTCTCTCTCTCTTGGTTGGAAGATTTCAAGCTGTGGGAGATTGTGTAGTATTAAGTAGAATGTGTTCTTCCTCCTAAGTAAGCGTTCATTTTGTATATGTGCATGCCTCAAGACACTAAAGACAGTCCCATTCTTCATCAGGTTTATTAAGTCAAAAGGGTAAAACTAGAAAATGAAATATACATACAAGACTAGTCTAAATAACAAACAAAAAATGGGGAGTAACAAGGAATATGACAAAGGCAGCCAGTGGCTTGAACATAGAAGTAAAACCATTTGCCTAAATGGGTAAAAGGAAGTAGCAAATACTGTATTTATATGGATATGCGTAAAGTTTGCTACAGGAATACATTTTACTGTTGCAGTGTAACTTCTCGGAAAAGAAGAAAGTTACATTTGGGAATAGTGTGTAAGCCTTGAACAAGTTTTGAAAAGGATTTTTTATATATATATATATTTATATATATATGTGTGTGTGTGTATACACACACACACACGTAAAATAAAGGTATAAAAACAAATGTTCAAATAATGAAATAATAAGAAAAAGTTTTAAAGGTTATATTCAAGATGATGATATCATTGAGGGGGTATGATTATGAGGATGGAAAACAATAAGAACCACTTACTTGGGCTCATCCTTTTACTGTGGGGGTCCCAGTGACAATTAAAGGCTAACAGGAAGTAGTCAAAAACGGTGTCTAACTTAAAAAGTACCTAAAGTGAAAAAAAGGAAGTAGGCAATGCAGGTTTGTACTTTGGTGACAAGACACAGCTGCTGGTGATTGGGGGGGTGCTTTGTAGCCATTTTGAGAAGTGGGAGATTTCTAAGTGGAGAGAGTGCTAAGGTGCCATAGGTAGATTATTTTTGTTAATATTAAGACTTGATGCCAAACCTTGTATTTCATCAAAATTGGTGTTTAAAATGTTTGTTAATTTTCTTTTCTTTTTCTTTCAGTATTATGATAGTGAATTCACTCTCTGGGATAGATTTGAAGTTCAAGGAGATATGACATTGAAGGAGTTTCTTGATTATTTCAGGTAATTTCATATTTAAAAAAAAAATATATATATATATTTAAAAAAAATAAGTTTTAAAAATTGCAACACTTGTCTTTTAGGGTTGATCTCTTTTCCTGTACTTTGTTTTTCCAAATTATTAAACATATTAAATCAATTTAATTCACTTATTTTTACAGTTTATGCTTTCCAAAATGCAGATGAAAATTTTCAAATTTTATTGAAATATGGGTGGGATGTGCTACTAAGGAATTGGCTTGTTCTTTGGTTACTGTCCGTGGTTCAGCAAGGAGTGAGTGACTTGGATCAAAGTTGATATATATCCAGATGATTTAATTTGGACAAATTTAGCTCTGAAAATGTATACATCAGGCTAACAAGCAATGGTGACAAGTTCAAACATTTTCAGGTCCCTTGTGATGTCAAGTGCTTTATGTCCATATCCTGTTAAGAGAATTTTAAGGTCATAAAATATATGTATGTCCATTACCCAAATGACTGTTCTCAACTGGAACTGTCCTATTTAAACAGCTTAAACCTAATCAATTCTTGTTTACACTTATGTTCATCTTATATTCAATATTTTCAGCTACTTTGTAAATGTTTTTTTAATTATATAGATATTTTTTTTATCATAAAACACTTGTATTAGGCAAGCCGGCGGGTGAGTCGGTCAATTTTTGTCTCTGGAATTCTTTCCTTAGGCAGAAGTCAAGTTCAATCTGTCAATAAAATAGGAGAAATAATGAATTATATAGAAAGGATTACTTTCAGAGGGAAAAAAAATCAACAAGATCAGTTTGGGATCTTTCACTCTTAAATGTCTTGTTCAAGCATATATTCTACAACTGCAGCAGTGCTATACACCTCCCGGGTACAGCAGCTTGCATGGTTTTCTTTTTCAAATGTTAGTTTCACTGAATCCACAACATGAATGTTGAACATATATCATACCAACATAGACGCCTTCCTTAATAAGGCTTCCTGGTGTCTGTTTTACATGTTTTCAAACCATTGAATCTCATCAGCCCTTCTCCTTTTTTTTCTTTCTTTTTTTGTTGATATTAACAATGACACTACTGAGCAGTTTCTCTTTCAGCATAGTTCTCTCAAATATTACCATTGTACATATTTCCAGGGTCAGAAGTTCAGGTATCTTTAGCCATCATCCGTTTTTTTTTTTTTTTTTTTTTTTTTTTTTTTTTTTTTTTTTTTTTAAGAGAGAATTGAGGAAATGTCTAGCTAGCACCTTGTATACAAAAATCGCATTTTGAGTATTGCTATTCTCTACAACTACAATAGTAATAAACAAAATTAAAAAAAAAAAAAAACACAGAAATTACAAGTCTCTTAATATTTTTCAGAATAAATATGATCTCGAGATAACCATGCTGTCCCAAGGTGTTTGCATGCTTTACTCATTCTTCATGACACCTGCTAAACGTCAGGAACGCTTGTCTCTACCGTAAGTATTTGGATAAATATTAAATTTTATTCAAATTTTTGACTGCCTTTTTTCCTTTTCTTTTTCTTTCTCCTTTTTGGTATTATGTTATTATTTTATAAGAATTTTTTTAATCATAAGACTAGCATTGGAGGGGAACATAGAACTAGTTTGAAAGCTACTTATGAATAGATTAATTTCAGTCTCATAGGCAAAATAATTATGGCATTTCATACCTTGCAAGTAAGACTTGCTTATAATTCAACAATGGTGAGATTATATACAGGACTTGAAAAGTCTTGGAAAACCAGCAATAGCCCAAAGGCGCCTTGAAAAGTCCTTGAATTTTCTAAATTGGGCTATCCACACGTCCTTTTTCTCTATTCATGAAAGTCAAAAATCCCAGAAGTCTGGCTTTTTTACAAGATAAAATTCTCTTAAGAAAAATGTTTTTTTAGTTATCAGTAATATTTAGCAATTCTTGCGAGCAGTGATTTGTTTCCTTGATTAGAACGAGTTCGTGACTTCGTAGTTACTTCTGTCTTTTCTCATCTAGGTGACAAGAAAGAACATGAAGGCATATCTTCTGTTACTGTCACTCAAGAAGAAGAGAAAAAGCAAAGATAAAAGGTGTTAGACAACTAAACATCTTCATCAAAGAGAAATTAATTCACACATTGTTTTACAGTAATAAAATACATTTTAGTAGAATCTTGATTTGATCAATTGAAGAAATGTTAATTCACATGTCAATTTAAAAAAGTAAAAAGTCTGTCAGTGGTGGGTGAGTTCATGTTGGGAAAAAATAGATACTTTACATGTCCTGTGTCAATGTATATCTATGTATAAACTATGTTTGTCTAAATTGTTGCCAAAAGTAACAAGTATGAAAAAGAAAAAAATGATGGAATATATTAACTTTTATTGCTTGGCTTTTATAATTAAAACCTGTCACTTCACTTTACTTTCTGCTAGAAAATGTACAGATATATGAACTAGAAATTTGGCCAGATGTCTTAATTTAAAAAAAAAAAACAAAAAAAAAACAGAAAAATGTCCCCCCAGACCAAGTCTGGTGCTGTCAAACATGAATGACATTTTGTTTCCAGTGAAACTGCATATTTTTGTGTCTATTTCAAAAGAAACCGTTTCTGATAAAATATCGTAGCAAAACTGTTGCTTCCTTTCTTTGCAAATGATCTTTTTAGCATAGGTACCTCCACCAATTTGTTGAAAAAATGCCCCAAACTTCTTTTTTTTTATTGTCAAAATGTTAGTTAAGAGGAAAGATGACCAAAACGTTCTTGGATTTTTTTTTTTTTTTTTTTTTTTTCCTCCAACCATCTGCAGTTGACCTAATATTTATTATTGGTTCAGTTTTCCCAGTTTTGGAAATTATTGTATTTTAACCTTTATCTAGTGAAAATTGTCACCCTAGGATTCTCTCCCTTCGCAGCTGTAGGCTCATTCTGTCACCTCAAGAGGGTTGCTATAAATAAAAACTTGTCATCTGTTATTACCAATATTTTAAGCTGGAAATAGCCTACTACTGCTTTGGAACAAAGCTAAACTTCCATTTTTCCAATGCAATTTTGAATTCTTCTACACTCTGCATAAGGTGTAGCATCAATTAAATACACATTAATTTTGTCACCATTTTTTGTAAACAAAAATGGCTGCATCAACATCCAACAAAGCCTTTATTCAGGAATTTTCTTTGATTCATATTCCAATGATGATTTTCAAGTCTTTACTCAAGAGGAGGTTGATGGTGAAATGGTCAAATACAAGAGATGATAGCTTTCCTCTCTGTCACTAGTATAGTTATGATGACCACAAGGTGTCAAGCAGCTACTATCATCCATAGGTGACTAATTTTATGGAAGCTGCTGGTGCCATAGATGTACCTGATATCCTTTGTGAAAGTGAATTTTCATCTATTTATAAACAACGAAATAACTTTATTTGTCAATGAGACAAACAAATATGCTAGTCAGGTGAAAGAAAACAAACAAATTTTTATGTAAACCCAAGGAAGGATGTCACTTTTGACGAAATGAAAGCCGCCTTAGCCATTTTGCTTGTTATTGCACCCCAGAACTCCACAAGGGGTAATAAAAGATAAAGTATGTTAAATTGTTAATGTATTTGTTTGTTTTTTTGTTGTTTCAACATACATGCAAAATGTAATGCATTACATCAAAATATTACTCATCCATTCTTTTATTAGTATACCAAAAATAAAATCTATATGTACAATACAAAGAAAGTTATAACAATTATAAAAATTTCATGTTTTTTGTGCCCTCAAAGCATATGTAGTGGCAGTGGGGAACAATTCTAGAAAGAATGGTGTGATAAAGGTTTTAATGAAATTTTCAGGACTTTTGCACAAATGAATGAAATTATTTTTGAAATTTTTTGTTTTTTTTTTATGTATGTTCCATATACACATACACACACATTTAATTTGAAATTTTAATAAATTGAATTTTGATTGCAAAATTTGTTTTATTAGTTAAAAGCAGGGCTCTTTGGAGAATGTAAATCATCAGTTTATTTTTTAAACTGTTACTCATTTCCCAAACATCTACTCCAAATCGTAAGATAAAAAATGCAATTAAACTATGACATTGAATAATGAAGTTTTACAAGAATTTTTTTTTTTATTTTATTTTTTTAATTATAATAATTTATAAATTTTCAAATCTTAAATTTCTGCATTACTTTGTGTTAGGTGGTTTATTAAGTGGAAATTTTATTTACTAGTCAAAAATTGAAAAGCTTAATACAAATCATTGTGCAAAAAGATTTTTTTTAATTTTAATTTTTCTTATATAAAATATGTAACATGCCAATTTTGAAAGTATAGGTGGCTATACATGACATTATCAGAAAATAAGAGTGATGACTATAGTAAATTTAAAGTCAGCATTCCTAAAATTAGATTAGAGAGTATTTTAAGATTACTGAGTACTTAAAAAATATATATTTATAAAATAAAGGTGCCCACCTGTCTTCCTTTTTTTTCTTCCTTTTTTTTTCCCCCAAGTTTCAGTAGAAAAACAATAAATGCCATTACTTGTCAATCACTTAAAACATTGTTACTTCAATTAAAAGCACAGCTACTGTTCTAAAAATGCATTTCTGTGTTATTTTAAACTTAAAATAAATGTTTCAAATCAGATTAATTATACTTTAAATCAACTAATATTCCTCAAATAAAATTTTATAAAAGTATATTTTATTTTTGGAAGATTTTTAATATGTAAAATTACATTGCGATGAAAGACTAAAAAAAAAGTGTGCTAATTTTTTTTTTTTTTTTTTCACTTTCAACTGATCCATGTGATATGAATTATTGGAACCAGCTGTAGCTTTTATTTGAGCATCTCATCTAGAAAAGTGCTTGATTTTTATATAATATATATGTGTGTGTGTGTTTGTGGGGACTCTGTATTTGACAAATTTTTAAAATTGCAAAAGTGAATTAGTGTGTAGCAATCAGTTTGCTCAATATTTTATATGAAGCAAACACTTGTCTAGCCTTTGTTTTGGATTCTTCGGCTTCTTTGTGTTAAGGTTATGACTGCATTTTTTTGCCAATTAATTCTACAGCCGTCTTTAGGTTTGTAGTGTATAAGGTAAAGATAAGTAGGTCTCTCTCAATACACAAGATGATTGCTAATGAACCAACTAAACCAGTTCAACAATACAAGAGTTTGGTTGCCCAAACAAAGCTTGGAATGTTAATGAGTTCTCAATTATTAGACAATGGATATTAATAGAGTTGCTTACTTGTTTCTTTTAATTCCTTTGGCAGCTTATGAATAATCAGTATCTTAGGTTTAATTACAATCTGGAAACTGCAATAAAAATTAAGATGAAAGAAATACCAGAGAAAACTTAAAAATGCTTCTTAGAGTGGTGGGTGCTTATGTACCAAAAATAGGTCTTCTTTTAAGCTTACTCTGATTGATTATAAATAATGCATCTTTTGTTTGGCCACAATGTGGGGTGGGGGGTTTCATCACTTTTTTTTTTTTTTTTTTTTTTTTTTTTTTTTTTTTATTATTATTATTTTATATAAATGTATACATATATATTCTCTTTTTTCAGATTGTCTGAGGTAGTGAAACGCGTTTCCAAAAAGAAAATTGCACCTTATGTTAAGGCATTGGTACTTGAATTATGCTGCAATGATCGCGATGGTGCTGATGTTGAGGTACCATATGTGAAATATCTGCTGCCGGCCAATCATTGATGACTTTTCTGCCCTGTCTGTCTGCCTGTTTTGTCTCTCTCTCTCTCTCTCTCTCTCTGTTCCCCCCTCTCTCTCTCTCTGTTCATCTTTCTCTCCGTCCGCTTGTCTGGATCCTCCTGCTGCTGCTGCTGCCTCTACTGCAGACCCTTCTGCCAACATTTCCATCTGCACCACTCTGCACTAAAAAAGGCAACATGATTTTTAACTATATCCATTTGTTAATTTTGTTGCCAAAAGAGGCAATAAGGAACAACTCCACTCGAACCTTCTTTCCTATAGAGTGGTTTGTCTAGTTTAAGGTTATTGCTTCTTTTATCGATCACAGGATAAACAAGTTCTATTTCTGGACGTTATCCTCTTTCACTCTATCTCTATCAACCTATCTTATTCTCCTGCTCACTGCAGGTAATCAGTGTCCTTATAAACTTCTAAAATCCATAATGCTCATACATAATAAAGAAAATATTTACATGTTATCTGCAGTGGTGGCAGTGACCTGTTATTTAAATATGCAAAAATGTTATGGGCTCTCTCTTCCAACTTACTAAACTTGAATTTGGTAAGTGTTTAATTAATCTTACTGCCGGTCCTATTATTACTATTATTATTATTATTACTTCCTGCATTTTCCCAGCCCTTAACACTAAAGGTTAATCCAACTGGCGTGAAAAGAAGGGAAAAAATATTAAGTAGTTGAATTCCCTTTCTGATCCCTTCTATTCAATCTTCTGGTCATGTTAGATGATCATTGTCTTTTTCCTTTCAGAATTCACTCTTAACTGGTGGCATTCAGTCAGGACTGTATTAGATCTTCAATATTAATTGTTAAACTGGCTCCAAACTTTATTCCTCCCCCCCCCCTTACCCAAAACTCCCTCTTTAAAAATGTTAATGACAGAAGATTGGTGTTGGTGGTATATTATCCACCTCCCAAGATCCCCCCCTTCCCTCCCTCTCTTCCTCTCCTGTCTCTTCACATGTTTCTTCATAAAATAAAGGTCTCCAGCTGAACTTGGAGATAAGATTCTTACCTACCTATTAATTTGGTAGTGCCTCTTGTGCAAAAAAAAAAAAATAAATAATTTGGGGGGAGAGTTTTTAGGCTTGTAAAAGACCTGGAAGCCATTTTGAGAAGCTTTTTGTATTGTAATAAATGTCTGGAAGTGGAAAAGCATACATGAACAATAAAAATTTAATAAAATTTTAAAAAATATTTAAAAAAAAAAAAAAAAAAAATTAAAGAGTTCTCAAATATAATTTTGTGTCTGTTTTCTTTCATTTTCATTTTGTTCTTCCACTCAACTGATATATCGATATGCAACTTTTCTGATATTTACATGCAGGCTATAGGGAAAAAAAAATCACAATACTTCTCTATAAGTTTTATGATGTTATTGCTCCTCAGGTCAGAAAAGAATATTGTATTATTGGCAGAATATTTAAACATAAATTTTCAAACTTGTCTATTCTGATAGCTTAATCCCATAGCAATATTACAATAACTGAAAACAAATTGTGCCTGTTATATTTTTAAAAAATTCTATGGATTGTAAGAAAGCTACATCCTGGAAGAGAAAGAATATTAAAAAAAAATCTTGGTGGGGGGGACTGAAAACACTGGTGAGTTAGGGATAAAAAAAATTGCCTTCCAAAAATTTTTTTAAGGCAGGTGGTAGGAAAATTAAGGTAATAAGCCAATGTTAACCAGCAAGAAAATATTTGAAGTTGGCATTCAGTCAGTTATGTGCCATGCGTGATACATGTTTAGGCGATCACGTATTTTTCAATACATAACTGACAAGGCAGATTTTTTTTTCCCGCAGTAGGTTGCCATATCTTACTGCAGTAGACCAGTTTCCATCCAAAGCTAAAGAACCTGGTCTGTCCTGCTATTTAATTTACCAATAGCTATCATACCTTTCCCAAGGTTATTAGCACATAAGTGAATGTAACAGATTCAAATGGAATTTACTCAGCTCTCCGATTCCTTAATCCAAGTCACTATCCATTACTCTATTAAATCCTCCCCCACTTGGCATAAGTTTTAAAAAAAGAAGAAAAAAAATGCATAATATTGGTTGCTATTAAGTTTTTAGCTGAACAGTACAAAGAGAAACAAGTTTGAAGTGATTTTTTTTTTTTGTGATAAATGTTCAGCTATATAGTGTCTATCATGAAAATAGTCAGCTATGGCCACAATAGGAAGTTGAGTAATATTTTTCGCATCAGAACCAATCGGTTTCATTCATGTTATTGAGATCAATGCCAGGAATTGTATTTATTTTTTATTTTTTTTCATTAAAAATAATTTCAAAAGAAGTGTTGGGCTAATGTATTCTTTCAAACTGGTTAGTGTCAAAGAAAAGGTTTCAGACACCAACTTAATGGAATAGCCATTACTCCAATAGGCTACCTGATCTCTCATCATTAAGAGGTGTATATAAGACTGATAATCTAGCAACGATCTCTGTAAATATGAAGTCGAGTAGAAAAGTTAATGGATAAGCTACTGACAAAGGTAATAGAATGCTTTTGAGGCTTTTTTTGATGTTGCACTTTGTATAGATAAATAACACCAAAACAGTAATTTTTAAGCTACAAGTATTTAACTGCACACTGTCAATGAACCTGGAGTCTGCAACACAGGACAATTATTTCTCTAATCATCTGTTTTTTTTGTTTTTTTTTACTCATTGCATCCTAAGCAAAGCAATAATAGATACAAGGGGTTAATGAGGAGAAAAAAAACATTAAGAGGAGAGATCAATAAAAGAACAAATTAAAACAAGATAATTGAAATTGCACTTAACTTTTTTGAAAATTAAAGTTGACTATTAAGCAAAAGGCTGTAAGCATGAAGTGTTAATGAAGAAACTTAGTATAGAACTTGTGGTTACATCTGTTTTAATTGTATAATGAGACCTTTCAGCCAGTTAAGTGCCATATGTAATATGCACTTTGGTGATTATATCTCTTAATTCACAAGACAAAGTTTTCCTGTAATAAGTTGCCATTTCTTCCTGTGGTAGACTGGGTCCTACAAGATTGGTTAGCAACCAGTCTCTCCTGCTATTCAACCCATAGCTGGGGTGAGGAATCTAGTACCGTGCTCACATTCATAAAGTCTAAGTACCAAAGAGGGAAGCTCATCAGAACAATTACCATGAAAATATTTGTAGAAAAGACACAGAAGCTATGTTATGGTGGTGAAAAATTGACTTAAGCAAAGATACCAGGTTAAGTATGACCAATAACATTGCAGATTTTCTTTTGTATTTTATCTCTAGAATCTCTAAAATATCAGAAGCATCAAATCAGATGTGGCAGCATATTTAAAGCATCATGACTTATTGTCACGTCACTACTAGAGTATGAAAACTCAGAACGAGTTTAATTTAACCTTGGTCCCTCTTTAGTTGATCAACCTCAGAAATCTTGACTCCCTGAGCGGATTGCATGTCAACCACTTAAACTGATAGAAAATTTGGTAGAATCTCCATGTAATGTTTAGTTAATAGGCAAGTTTGATCTTCAAAAAGAACGAGAATAGTCCGAATATATATCAAACCTAACATTTATTGTATGGAAGAAACAATACGCAATATACAAAGCTTTACCTTTTTTTGTGAATGTGTTCCTGAGTATAGAACAATGAAAGTTCTGTTTTCTTAAGTCCTGCATGTGATATCGGATAGGCATGTGTTGGAGGCAAAAAGAAGCTAAAAGCCCTACATCTCCCACTCGGACAGCAGTGACCAATCAGAAACTCCCACACATATAGGGTTTGGTAAAGCCCTAGTCCTGCTGCTATATCTAGGTTCTGACCAGTTTGTGAGTGTATGTTAAAGTATATTTGTATGTATGTTAATTCACTTCATCAGCTCTGATGTAATCTGCATACTGAAATACATTGTAAAAATATTGTCTCAAATTAGCTTCTTAATTGGTAAAATCTTGACTATGATTCAAGGTATGTGTTGAAACAGGATGCATAAGAATATTAACTTAGCTTCTTAGTTACTATGATATCGACTAAAAGATCTTCAACTATATCAAACCATTATTTACAAGTATCAATTTTTGTTGCTTTTTATTGCAACTCACACATTGTTATACAATCATCAAGCAATATTAATCATGAATAAAAAAAAAAATAAAAAAACTATTGAAATTTGAACATCAATCCCTTATCCTTAGGAGCTTATCTTACCATAATAATGCAATTACCAATTGTACCATAAAACTTAAGCTGTCACCCAAATAAATTCTTTTCTTCCCACAATATCCACTACACTGCGATGTTATTTATTTTTACAAGTAGTATTAGATGCTAAAACCTTTGAATTTCTTAAATGAAGCATTGTCAATTGTTACTAATTTTTGACTAGTATTTCTTTCATCTTCATTTCTCTTGCCTTTTATTGCAACTGCCATCCATAAGATGTAGAAGTAAAGAATATAGCTATATGGCTAAATTTGAATGACTCCTGCTGGTTAGCCTTCTTAGATGAAGCATTGTCAATTATTATTCATTTTTCACTAGTATTTCTTTCATCTTCATTTCTCTTGTTTTTTATTGCAGCTCCCATCCATAAGAAGTAGAAGTAGAGAATATAGCTATATGGCTAAATTTGAATGACTCCTGGTGGTTAGCTTTGTTTGATCCTCCTCAATACATAGTGGAAACAGAATTTTCTGGTGTTTTTTTTTAAATCATTTCATTCCAACCAAAGAAATTCTTGTAGCATACCTCCAGAAAATAATGGGTATGTCCCCATTCACATAAATACAGTAGTAAATACTGTATGTTGTTCTGCAGTTGGAGATTCATTGTGGAATTCACTTGACTCACTTCTAGTAGTTGACTACTTCTTCTATGAGCCACTGGCAAATCTTGTATATGTTGTTCTTGTCCTAAGTATTATTGTTTATTACCAACCTTTGTGTGATTATTCTATTCACTAACCTTCCCTAGGTTACAGCAGAAATAAATGAGAATA